GCGCCAGGGAGTTGGAGACCGCGGGGAAAGCCTCTATCGCAGCCCGAGGCTGTGGCTTCCCCGTGGGGAATGGGTGCAGGGAGGTCTATCCAGGCCAAACGCTCACCCTGTGCCAGCCATGCCCACGCTCCCATGTCCAGGAGCACCTGCTTGGGATCCCCTGAGGAAAGTGGAGCCGGCCCAGGGGGAAGGGAAGATCCCGGCGCTGACCATCTGGGAAGGGAGGCCCCTTCCCATGGGAGTGTCTATGCAGCCGGCAGAGGGGAGGCTCGAAGGAAAAGTCAAGAGAGAAGCAGGTTCTGGGCCCGGTGGCAGGAGAGCTCGGCTGGAGGCAGGGCCGGGAGCTAAATCACGTTGTCGAAGAGCTGCATGGACCGCATGATGTTCTCGTCCTGCAGGGAGGAGGTGGGAAGCAGGTGGGTTGGGCATGGAACAGCAATCTGGGCAGCTCCTCCCAAACCTGGCTTTACCCTCATGACAGCTCTCACCCATGGGACAAGAGCCCCAGGGATTACAGGCAGTTTCCAAGCCCTACTGGGATGCATGCCCTCCTCATCTGCACAGGAATGCTGGCAAAGACAGTTCCCAAAGCAGAGCCCCAGCCTTGCCCCTGGGAGCCCTGCTTTCACACCCTCTCTGCCAGGAGGGTGATGGGGGGACAGAGGTCCCCAAGGGACAGGGAGGTGGCCCAGCCCCAGAGCAGAGCTGCTGGTGGCTTTACCTTCTGGCAAGACTCCAGGAACTCCTCGATTGTCACCACGCCGTCCTTGTTTCGGTCCATTTTCTGCAGACAAGCACAGCATGGGGGGCATGGCAGGGACAGCCCAAGCCCCAGGGAGAGCCCAGCACCCCCTGTCCAGGTCCCACAGGGGCTGCACAGCACGCACCCCTGTCCAAGCCATCCCCAAGCACCCAGCAGGACCAGGATGGCCTTTTCTCTCCCTGGCTCCAGCGCAGCCCTGCTCCATCCCCAGTGTGGGGCATTTTCTCCCACACCATGCCAGGTTTTGGGCAGCCACTGGCTCTGTGCTCGGCTCACCTGGAAGAAGTTCTCCACGTGCTCTCGGGGCGCTTCCTCCCGCATGGCCGGGTAGGTGTATTTCCCCATCATGTCGTAGATGGACTTCATGATGTCCAGCATTTCCTGGAGGGAAGGGTAGCAGAGTTGCAGACTCAACGCAGGTCTCTGCCTCTGCCTGGTCCCCAATCCACACCTTTTTTGTGATGCTCCCAGGAGTGCTCAGGTGTGTTCCTGCCAGCTCTGTGCACAGTCTGGGGCCATGTGTGTGCCTGCATGTGTGATGGAGCCCCAAAGCAGCACACCCCTCATCCACCCTCCACTCCAGAGACACATCAGTGCCGGGGCATCAGGAGGGACCCGTTTGCAAAGCTGAGCTCAGCAAATACTGATCCCCCCAGCTCTCCTCCAGAGTTCAGCCAATGCCCCCGAGTCTTGCCCTCGTCCCTGCTGGGCGCAGACCTGTGCTGGCCCTGGGGACCAGCCTGGCCCCCATCCCACCTCTTTGGTGATGCAGCCGTCTTTGTTCAGGTCGTAGAGATTGAAGGCCCAGTTCAGGCGATCGTCAATTGTGCCCCGCAGGATGATGGACAGCCCAGACACAAAGTCCTGCAAGGATGGACGAGGCAGGCAGATAGGAGTTACAGGCACAGAAGGTCTCACGGACACAGAGGGCACAGCCCTGCTTGTCCCTCCCACAGAGGGGGAACTCAGCCCCAAAGCAGATGTGCCCCGGGGCTGAGCTGACAAGGAAAACATTGAGTATCAGAAAGAGCCTGGGGAAAACCAAATCCTTGTCCCCAAACACGTCCCACACTAGTCCCTTGGGTCACAGCATCCAAGAGGACAACATACATCAGGACCTGGTGTTCAGCCAAAGCTTGAACAAGACCCAGCCATGGCTGTGCCTGCCATTCTGGGTACCTCCAAGACACTAGCCAGAAAATACAGAAAGCCTCCTTTTTTGTTGCTTTTCACTGTTTTTCCACTGGGAATTCCTCTGAGAATTTAATAAACTCCACCAGCCCCTGCAAAGCTCTCCATCCATCTGCAACAGCAACGCTGCTCAGCCCAACCCACGGTACCTGAAGGGACTTGCCCTCCCTGCCCCACTGCCATCCCCTCCTCGGCCACAGCTCACCTCGAAGCTGACGGAGCCGTCGTGGTCGGTGTCGAAGGCGTTGAAGAGGAAGGTGGCATATGTGCTGGAGTCTGGGGGGAGGCAGACAGTGTGAGGGGTTGCTGTGTGACCCCCCCACCCTGCAGAGGGACCCAGGCAGGGCATGGGCAGGGGGACGGGGATGGGCACTCACCTCCCTGTGGGAAAAACTGTGAGTAGATCTGCTTGAAGTTTTCTTCATTGACGATGCCGCTCGGGCACTCCTGCCAAGGCAAGCCTCAGCGTCACCTCAACATTGTGGAGAGGGGCTGAGCACCCCCGTAAATCCCTGTGGCTGCCCCTGGCCCTGCGTTGCCTGGTGGGGCGGCTGGTAAAGCTGCCTGGAGCATCTCCCCGATTCTGTGGGCTGCACCCCTTGCTAGAGGGGCTCTGCATCCCAGGCACCCAGGGAGGGGGCTCTCTGCACCCAAGGGATGGAGCACAGGATCAGGCCTCCCCACTGAGCTCTGTGGAGGTGGGATCAAGCCATAGCCTGATAGAAACTTCAACCCCAAGGTCTTGAAAGCCTTTGCAAAAGCTGGGCACTGCCAGGTGCGAAGCAGTCTCCAAGGTGGGGATGGCAGCAGAGGAGGGGGCTAGCAAAGCTGGTCGAGAGGTACTCACGTTCTTGAAGCCTCGGTACAGGACCTGCAGCTCTTTGCGGGTGAACTTGGTCTGCTCCTGGAGCTGCTCCAGCCCCTCGGGGCGGTGGCAGACGGTGGAGAGCTCAAACTCATCCTCAACGCTGTCTGCAAGGAACCCAGGGGAAGAGAGGGCGGCTGAGGCCAGCACCGGCCAGCACCGTCCTGCCCTGCCCTGCCGTGCCGGGGGGCAGGAGGGG